AAAAAAAAAACCGCGCACACACAAACACAGTTCACACGTGAGCACACATGCAATCACACGAACCTGTGCAGGTGGTTACTCACTCATTGGCAACACATGCATGCATGCACTCTCTGTGTCTCTGCCTCTGTCTCTGTCTCTGTCTGTCTCTCTCTGTCTCTCTTTCTCTCTCGCTCTCTCTCTCACTCACACGCACACACACACAAACACACACACACACATACACACACACACTCACTCACACAGCGCGCGTGCGCACACTCACACACACACATACACACTCTTACTGTCTCTCGCTCTGTCTGTCGGTCTGTCTGTCTGTCTGTCTGTCTGTCTGTCTGTCTGTCTCGCTCTCTCTCACACACACACATTTGTCTGTCTGTCTGTCTGTCTGTCTCTCTCTCTCTCTCTCACACACACACACACACACACACACACACACACACACACACACACGACATATTTACACCTTAGTCTTATGTACATAACCTCCTCCCACCCCCCACTACCCACTCTCTCCCCCACACCTCACCCACCGGAATCTGTGTACATTTTGCCATGGGACTAATGGATAATATTTAACCAAAATGATTACCCAAGTAGTCCTACGTGTGTGTAATCGTTCTTGTAAAGAAGACGGGATTCTGATCCAGGGTAGAGGTCTACTTTTTTTTAAAATTCTGTATATATTTTGGGTTTTTTTATTTCCTATGTGAGTGTTTGTGTTTGAGTAAACGTGACTATACACTTTTACTGGCGTCGAGCTGCCGGGTTTTAAAAGGGCATTACGTCTTTTCTGAGTGAGTGTAAAAATAGTGCAGCTGTTAGGCAGACCATAAAAAGAGTATTGTCATTTTTTGGGGTGTGAACTTGACAGCCTGTTAGACAGACCCATACAATGAATATTGTCATTTCTGTACATAAATGGTGTAGCGAGTTAGACAAGGTCATTGAAAAGAGTATTGTGTCCTTTCTGTGTGTAAATTATAGACAGACAGGGCCATAAAATTAAGTCATTTATGTGTGTAAATAAGGCAGTCAGTTTAGCAGTCAATCTCACGGTGTCCCATTTTGTAGCTCTTTGACACTTTCAGTATTTCTCCAAAAATCATTTTGACAGACTGCTATGCAAAGCATACGGATCGGATTAACGAGTAAATTTCCTCTTTGGCAAGTGGTGGCACAGAGTTCCCCACGTCGTATGGATACGATAGTATAACAAGAGTCACGACGTACGGATAGGGTTAAGGACAAAGGGACTAAACAGGGCCTCACATTGACCTTACCGTGTTCTCTTTTGTATTTTGTTCGTTTGT